TTTCATAAATATTGCCATTGGTCAATGCAACATCTTCAGGCCTTTTTTTCTTCCTAGGACCTTCAAAAGTTTCATATATACATTTTTTTCAGTCCCTTCACTCCCTTCCTTTATATTTGGGGATTCTCATTAAGAGAAAACATGTAATATTTAACTTTCTGTCTCTGATGTACTTCACTTAACATTATGTTCTCAATATCCATCCATTTTCCTGAAAAATGTCATGATTGCATTCTTCTATATGACTGAATAATATTCCATTGTGTATATATACCACATTTTCTTTATCCATTTGTCTTTTGGTAGGCATCTAGACTGTTTTCAGAGCTTAGCTATTGTGAACTGTGCTACTATAAACATGGATATGCATGTAATCACTATAGTAGGATTCCTTTAATTATTTTGGGAATATATGTAGCATAAATGCAGCTTGGTCAAAGGGATTTCTATTTTTAGTTCTTTAAGCAATGTTCATGGTGATTTCCATCGTGGCTATACTAGTTTACATTCCCACCAACAGTGTGCAAAAGTTTCTTTTTCCCATATCCTTATCAACATTTGTTGTTTTTTGTGTTCTTGAGCCATTCTTACTGAGTGAGATGGAGTCTCAGAGTTGTTGAATTTAATTTCTAAAGTAGATGAACATTTTTCAGGTACTTACGGGCTATCTGTACCTCTTTTGTGAAGTGTTTGTGCAGTTCACCTGCCCATTTTTTGATTAGGTCATTTGTTTCAAGGGGTTATTTTTTTGAGTTCTTCGTATTCTATATATGAGGCCTCCATCAGGAGAGTAGCTGGCACAACTTTTTTCCCATTCTATTGGTTATCTTTTCACTGTTGATTGTTTCCTTTGCTGTGCAGAAGCTTTTTCAAATAAGAAGATATTGATCATCATTAGTCAATACTAATGAATAAGAGTAGTTATGTACAAACTCCTACAGAAAAAAATAACACCAACACCACATTAGTTAGTTTGGTGTATTCTGTGGACCACTCAAACACTGTACTTAGCACCTTAGAGATCTTCTAATTAAATTCTTCATTGTAGTTGAGGAATGTAAGGCCTAAAAATGTAAAATGGTTTACCCAAAAACTTACAGACGGTTGGAAGAAGCAAGGGTGTCTCCCTGAGGAGACTTCGGCTACTACACCATGAAATTCTACATGTTTTGGGTTTCTTTTGAATTGTTTGCAATTCGTAGGTGCTAGGGGAAGCAAAAATCGTTCCACTGCCAGGCTGACTCCAGCTAAAATCCCTTCTACTGTCAGTGCCTGAGTACAAGTCACTTAAGAGGAGGGCAGATGAACCTTGAAGCATGCTAAAAGTCAAAAGCAAGATGAGGCATCAAGGGTGAAACCTGTGCTTTAGTTAACACAAAAAGCCATATCTAGTCTGCAACACGTAGGAATGGCCCTTTTTATAAAAGAGATTTTTAAGACTTGGAATACATATAGCTATAAAGTTTGATAAATTCAGGTTTTTTAAAAATCCCAGAGGAACAGGGAGGGTGTTACTGTACGTTGACCAGATGACATGGCCAGGGTTATATACAGTGAACCTGAAATAGGTCTGCAGAGAACAGTCTTCTCCTAACTGTGTCAGGTGGCTTAATTCCAGCCATGCTTCCTTCTAAGCAAATTTCTTTTTTGATTTATAGTCATATGTACACAGAGGACAGGATCCAAAGTCTGAGACTGTACAACTAAACTAAAATGTATTAGAATTAAAGGTAGGAGTTAAAAATGCCTATCAGAAACCTGCCCTGGGATATATTAGTAAGAAAACATATATATAAAATTGTCAGCACTTCTCAATGTATGCCAATCACATTGGAAATCCGATTCTTTTATCTTTGTATTTAATGAGCTTGCTCTACATATGAATATATTCCCTCTCAGACCCAAGCAGAAGTTATTTCTTAGAATTTACTTTGGGGAATGGCTTTTGTCTTGTTTAACCATGGGTAGGTTACAGGCTTAATGTTGAGGTTAGGACTTGGCATCACCTGGCATCTGGCATGTGGTATGCTACTCTGCACAAAGCAGTACAGCAGCAATAAAAGGCAATTTCGGGAGAATCCATAGCACTTCATTGGGAAAACAGTTATCTCTGCTGGAGTTAAGGTTAATGTTTTGAATTTTCATGTGTTCCTACCTTTTTTGTACAGCTTTTGAATTGAAAATAAAAATAGACAAAAGGCCTGACAGATAACCCCAGTAAATAAAACAGAACCTACCAGACTCAGAGAGGGCCAGAGTATGCATTATTTATGTGACAAGCTAGTCAGTGTGGCTCCAAATTTTTAAAGATGCCAGCAAAAGGCATTTAAAAATAGGAACCTATTTTTACAAGTAAGAATTTTCATGCAATATTCACTTCAATAGGCTATTGAAGAACTGGCTTGAAGGAAAGGAACTTGCTAGAGACCTGCCATACCCTCCATTCCAGACAGAAGGACGACCAGTGTGGGTATTCAGGTTTCCCAGACCCAGGAATCTGACTTTGTGCCTCTTTCTCTACTGGTGTAGTGGCAGAGGTTGCTCTGGAAATCCCAGGGTTCCTGAGTGGACACAGGGCACCCAGGAAGTGCAGTGAGTGTATCGTGTACCACGTGCCAGGGGAGCTAGGCAGGTGTGTGCTTTGGAAGCTCCAGGTCACTTATCTCCACAACATAAGGAAGGAATACCTCCTCCCCCAACTGTACCACTTAATGTGGCCCTCTGCTCACCACCAGCCTGTGCTCCTAGCCATGTCGGCTCAGAATGGCCTCAGGTGTTCCTCCACAGCAGCTGAGCAATGAGCAGCTTTCTCTTCCCTTAGACTCTTGTTCCTCTATTTTCTTTGCTCTACTTCCTGTCCTTGAAGAAAGCAAAGCAAAACAACTTCATTATTTTGAAGCTGCTGCTGCAGCAGGTTCTAACAACTCTTAATAACGAAATGCAAAAGACCGTTAAAAATTTGTCTGGCTTTGCTTTCACTTACCGGTCTCTGTGATTATTCTGAAGGGGTGATAATATACAATGTAGGTGCACAAAGCAGCACAAATCAAGGGAGGTGGATTAGCAAACTGCCTATGTCTTCCTTCGTCTGTGTTCTCCATGGTATAAGAAAGGCCATCTGGTGAGAACCTGCTTCAGAGTTTCTGAGCAGAAGGAATGGGGAAAACCCCAAATTGACTGAATGGAAAGGAAACTATAGCCTTCCTGGGAGGTATAATGGGTATGGACTGAGGATGGGCTCTGAAATGAAGCAGACTTGATCTTACAGTTCTCATTTTCTGACTAAGACCCTGCCCAAGAATCATAATATCACAATATCATAGTTTCCAAAATTATAAAGTCTTAGTCCCTAAGACTTCTGAAAGGACTGAGTTAGAATGTACACATAACCTGTATAGCAGAGGCCCTGGAATGGGATAAACAATGTTTGCCTTCATTTCTTTAAAAGAATAATAAAAAATAAAATCTACTTTCCATTGCAGACAAAGGTCAGATTCTATAGGATAGGACCTTAGTGCTGATCAACTCCCTTTCAGAAAGAATGTGATACTGCAGATGTGTAGCCTCTGGTCAGGCTAAGTGACCTCTTGAGCCATTAGAAAGCAGAGAATCTACAGGCTGATATAAACTTTCATACTCTGTGTAACATCCCAATTGTAGGTTTGGCAAGAAAAAATGGTAACAACAGAGCATTCCACAGGCCTCAGGGATTTTTTAAACTGACTTTGTAAGTAAGAGTTCAATTTGGCCATAATTCAAATCTACTGTAAACCTAATGCTCAAGGTAGCTTGCAAAGGTAACTGAAAGAAATTTAATGTCAGTAACTAGGCATCAAATATTAAACAGATAGAGTACCTGCAACTTCTATGTGAATGCTTAATGAAGGATGTTGTTTTAGATTCCACTCCACTTTTTAACTAATCTAAACTGTTCTATTTACATCGTCCTTCCAAGATAACAAAAAGATCTAATCTTACCAAAAAGCATAAAAGACATTTTACAAATTATGTATCTTATACCCTGTACCCATATACCAGTACCCTATTTCACAGAGTAGGATCAGAGGCCCAAGATCATGCCGTCAGTCAGAAGGCAGGATCTGAAACTTCTGTCCCCACTTGGTCAAGTTACCGCTGTCCTGCTCCCTGTAGTGAACCATGACTTTCTTGTGTTTACAAAAAGATACATTCAGGATTGCTAGTGAGCAAAGAGCTTTGAGGATGCTCACTGGTTCCTCTGGCGTAAGGAAAGGTAAGATAGCGTGAATCAGGAATCATAAAGATAGAAAACCTATGTTCAAAGCCTAACCTGGCTTCTTCCAAGATGCATGACTTTGTAACCATTAGCTATCACCTCTAAGCCTGGTTCTCTCACCTCATAGAAGCATTATCACAATCGATCCAGTCATTTAGGTAAATCTGCTTTCCTATTTAAAAGGCTCTAGGGAAATATCATCTATTATTATACTTTGCTTCTTTTCAGTTCCATTATTGGCTTGGTCTTGAATCTTTGGAAATTTCTCATCTATAAAAAAGGCTGCTGAAACAGTGTCTTTCAGGAATACCCTCCAGCAGCCATTTTCAACCTTTGGTGACCTAGAATCTTTGGGGAGATTGTTGAAATAGCCCCCTGGGTCCCAGTGCTTATGACTCAGCATAGCTGGATGGAGCCTTACAATGTTAAAAGAACCCATTTTGATGCTGATGTGGCAGGGCTATGATCTCTTTCTGAAAAATGCTGCCCTGCAAGCTCAGTAGACAAGAACAATGGTATCTGTGGATATGGAACTTGACAAACAAACATCACTTAGTCTGTCAGTAATGGACCCAGCACCAAACTCTTGGTTCCCAATACCTAGAGACTGTTCTTTGGACCACGCAGAAGCCTACTCTGGGACACTGGCTTTCATTCTAGACTACAGACCTGAAGGTCCCTGAACTCCACGGGTATCTTTTAAAGGTTAATTGAGTGTCACTGTCTTTTTCTGCTTTCTCCACAGACACATTTGCCAGCAAAGTGGCAGCCACCCAGGACCAGTATGCAGACGCATCCATAGGTAACGTCACAGGCAGCAACGCGGTGAACGTCTTCCTGGGGATCGGCGTGGCCTGGTCCATTGCTGCCATCTACCATGCAGCCAATGGGGAACAGTTCAAAGTGTCCCCTGGCACATTAGCTTTCTCTGTCACTCTCTTCACCATTTTCGCTTTCATCAATGTGGGGGTGCTGCTGTATCGGCGGAGGCCAGAAATCGGAGGTGAGCTGGGTGGGCCCCGGACTGCCAAGCTCCTCACATCCTCCCTCTTTGTGCTCCTATGGCTCTTGTACATTTTCTTCTCTTCCCTGGAGGCCTACTGCCACATAAAAGGCTTCTAAAGGAACAATCAGATATAGTAAATTTATATATATACATATATATATATACATAAAAATTATGTATAACGAACAGAGGAGACTGACATTTGTCACGTTCACTTACCTGCTGATGGAATCCAGCTTCAAGAGCATACTTTGTACTAGGGCCGAAGTCAGAAACCATCACTTCCCATTCCCAGGGCATCGTCATGTTGAACAAGACACAGAGGCAGGGCCATCTCCACAGCTCAGCCAAGAAGGGCTGTCCTCTCTCCAGGTTCACAAATGGTGAAGGCTTTGATTTGTTTTCTTGTTTTTGACTTTACTTTCAGTGGGGTTGGGGAGGTAGCTGATATTTGGCTTTCTGTTCTTTGTTTTTTGTCTTTTGTTTTGTCCGTAGGGTCAGGGTTTTCACTCCCCCTCTGTGGGAGGTGATGACCCATCCAAATGTAAAAGGGTTTGGGGTTAAAAAATCGAAATCATGAAGATGCCCCTCACCTCCCCCCAAACATTTTAAAAATTACTTTGGATTAAGAAAGGATCTGGGCATGGAAGAAGAAAGAAGCGCATCTTCACTTATTACCAAATTTCATGCTCATCTCCTGAAGGTGAACAAAGGTGAAGCTGCCTCAAAAAAGCATGGAAGCTGGAATGAGCCAGGAAAAGTGATGTTTCTACACACGGGCTAATATTTAGGGATATGGTGCCTGGCACTATTGTTCGACAGGTACAGGGGTAACGTGCCTAGATTCCCAAGAACATGCAAAATCCTGTTTTTCTTATCTCTTCAGCTCTGGACTGTGATTAGCAAAGCCCTTATCTGTTCCAGCACAGCTAAACCCCAAGAGTCCCATCCCGACACTCTTCCTCCCCCCCCCATACAAACCGGAAGGATACTCCCATCCTAAAAGCACACCATCCCTTTCCATCTGCATCAGTATGTGCCCAGCCCCATGTTGCTGTCGCCTGGGATTGTTCGTCAGTTTTGTTTTCCAAAGCATCCATGGCTTGCACAATCCTGTTCCAGTCATGACTGAACATTTGCTCCTTTTCATGTGCCTGTTTGGGAATGTTGACGTGATACCTGTTACACAGTGCATGGATGAAAAACAAATAAAACAAAACAAAGCATATCTGTATATAGTAGAGAGTAGAGCATATACTGTTCTCCCATTCAGCAATGTTGATTGGACATTGAAGACATAAGTGAGCTTTCTTTTCACCTGAATTGTTACTTTGTGTTGTTCCTTAGTTTGATTAATACTAGGGATAGAAGAAGAAAATGGCTTATTGTTCATGAATCTGCACATTCATTTCTAAGAAGCAATAACTGTCCTGTGGAGAGAAGTGAAAGTTATTGAGAGGATAACAGGCAAACTCAAAGATCTTCATGGAAAGTTAGCCCGGTGGAACACATCAGAGGCCTCTTAAGTCACCCACTCATTCAGGAAGGCCAGAGAGAAGGCGCTGGAGAGGAGTGTGTGCGCTGTGTGCCTGGGCTTTTGGGGCCACCGTTTCCACATCACCCCTTCCCCCAAAGTATTTAATTGCACGTCTGCTCTGTCCAGTACAGGTGATAGATTGTGCCAGTTTGTTTGTTTTATTGTTTTTTATGTAAAAGGCTATTTTGAGCACAGTTTCTCTCATCATTCAGTCCAGACCCCACCGAGTGTATCAGTGGTTCCCGAGTAGGCAAGAAGCCAGGGTGACTGATGGGCCTTTGAAAGTTTGTCCCTCTACTTATGACTGAAGAGAACCCTTTAAAAGGAATGGCTCTTTCTGTTTCAAAAGACCAAAGAGCATGGGTAAACCTAACATTCCACAATTGTGATTCCACTAATGAGGAAAAATGGAATGACTTTGCTCCCCTGTCAGAGACTTCACTGTCTCCGCAGAATCTCAGGTTGAAGACATCTCTGGCCCTCTGTATTGATTCAGAGATACTTAAGAAAGAAAGACTGCTGAGCCTTTTTTCTCTTCTTAGTAATCTCTCTCTTAGTAATCATGACTATTCATTTCATAAACATTTAACTGAAGGCTGATTGCACACTCAATATGCCACGTAGTATGCTGCTTCCTGGGGACGAAATCATGACCAAGACAGCCCAGACGCCTGTCCTCGGGGGTATACAGTGAATGTGATTGCTATTTCATGTGTGAAAGCAGAGACAGCCATATTGAAATAGTTTATCTTGCAAGGAAAAAAATTATGAAACTATTTTAACATAAACACATTAAAACTGTACAAAGAAAATTGCCCAAATAGCTGAGAGTTTCTTTAAGCAAACGCTGGGTTTGGAAATAACACCTTCTGTGTCCTTGGCCAACTCGCAGATATGTACTACTACCCGCTGTAAACCTAGAAGGGCAATCGCTCTCAGTAACCTGCATCACTAAGAAGGCCCAGTTAGCCCATTTTTATTTTTGTGGCAACAGTAGTTTTCCATGAGCTCCCCCTGACCTGTCATGACCCACTGATACCAGTGACTACATTAGATAGGGGTGCATTCTAGTCCATGCCCCCCATTTCTGAAGATTAAAAAAATGGAAAGCTAGCCTAGAAACACCAAGTAAATATAATCAAGGGATATAAGTTGTTTAAACATTAGAAAGATTTTGCACTCATTTTTAGCCACTTTTGGAATATAATAATCCCATAGCAAATCTTCACAGGAGACTTTCAGAAATTCTTGCTGTTGGTCAATTTCAATTTCAAAGCTTTTTGATTTGTTTGCCTTTTCAGTTTTCATGCTATAGGGAAAATATGATTCTGATTGTTCAGGGTTGTTATTAATTATTATAGTTGTGTAAAATTGTTTCATTTTATTGTTTGATTATTTTATTTGGTGTGTATTGTGCACAGCTTTAGGGGGAAGTGCACTAATTGTGCTGTCCCTTATAAATGGTACACATTATTGACACAGACAAATAAAGTTTCTAATTGTTTCTGACTTAATCACTAGTGATGCAGAATATTCTATATGGATGTTTTCTCTCTTCTCATTGTCATCTACTCCATTTTTTTGTTTTCATGCTTTGAAAAAATAAAGACCAAAAAGGTATTACTGTGCAATTGATATCCTGACCCAAAAGAAAGTAGACACCTGGTATTCAAATTCTTCCACACACCACTCCTCTGCTACCCAACATAGTCTTTTTAATGTCCCAAGAGAGCACAGAGCCAGAATATTTGTTTGTCTTACAATCCTGAAATAAATGTTGGTGTTCCTCCATTTCACTATGTTCTTTTTTACATCTTTAGTGTGACTCTATCTACATTCTTTCTGTATCCAAGAATGTGATATAAGGAGTAGTTACATGTCAGGCAATATTTGAGTACACCTTGTGTTATAGCAAATCATTCAATCTTACGAAAACTGATCACGGGAAGTGTTGTTGTTTCTCAAGAGATACTTAAGTGATTTTTTTTTTCCTTTAATAGCATACACTGTATTCCTTTTGCATACAGTAGAATTTCTACCTTGTGTACATAATTTCTAACTAATTATGTTTTTAACTTCATACCTCATATAATCAAAACAGTATATAAAGTGGTGACATCAGTCCTAAATAAGCATTTGTGGGGAAGAATGTTACTGATTACTATAATAGGTAGAATCTGTTCACTAGGTGCATGTAAATGATATTTTAGCCTTCTGAACATCTTTAAATTCTTCCAAGGAATTCTTCCTTATATCATTACATGTCATGTAATGGCACATGTGCTGGACGGTCATGTGTGACACACTTTTATATGTGAAGGAAATAAACTACATTTAAATATTTTCTCAAATCACATTTCCCCTGGGTGCCAGTCTTTGGTTTAACATAAAGTAAGCAGCCAGTATTTACTCGTTTCAACAGCAAAATGAGTAATTTCATGATCAAAGTACCCTTGACTGCTTTAGCAACCTTCAGCAAAATTCTCTGAGCAAGTTTTAATTCAAAGATTTCGATGCATCCTTCCACCAGTGAAGACTTTATAGTGCTTTGTTTTCTATGGTTCCCAGCATAAATGCACTAAAATTTTTTGCAGTTACTTTTCAAACAGAATTAAACTGCAAAATATGCTGTTTGAAACAACCCTCCAGAGATTCTACTAGGTGGCTCTCATCTGATACAGCACCCGAAGGCTCACAGCACCCCCGCCTTTGCCACATCTAGTTGATTCACTGGTGATACCACCACCCAAGGCCTCTGATCATAACCTGTCAAAATAAAGTGAGGCTGATGGGTTTTCTCTACATCCAAGATCTTTATGAAAGAAATTAGAAAATTTTCTCTGAAAGAAAATGAAGCCTTCTATTTTCTAATAGTGACAAAACTTCACCTTTTCAAGAACACAAATGAACCCCAATAAGGCTTCTTTCAATATTTCTGAGCTGGAGATATGGAGTCTTTTTCAGCTGTGATTTTCTTTCTCTGATCTTGCGCAGTTGCATACACAACAAGTCCTGAGTGTAGTTTCATGACTTGAGGAGTATTTAACCACTTTTTGATGAACAGTATATAACACTGGACCTCACCCGACCTACAGCTGGCATTCAGCATTTGTTATAATAATCATTGCACTGAGCCTGGGCATTCTAACTGTTGGTAGAACCAAGCAAAGGTAAATGTGGATTTCAATCAATAAATGCATGCATTATGCAGAAGACACATACCAAAATCACATTATCTTACAGAGAAAGAAACATGCTGTTATGAGTGGATCCATTAGCTTTCGTTAAGATCTTGCTACAGATTTTTGTTAATGGCTTACATTTTTACTATTCTTTTCTAACATTTTGTACTTACCTCTCTTTTCCATATTCATTGTCTTCACATCACATTTCAAATGCTTTTCTACCTACAAAGATAGCATGGAAAAGCTGGGTGTGGTGGCGCACACCTGCAATTCCACCATTTGGGAGGCTGAGACAGGAGAATCACCACAAGTTTGAGGGCAGTCTGGGCTACATAGTGAGTTCAAGTCCAGCATAAACTTCGTGGTGAGACCCTGTCTTGAACAAAAGATAGCATGGAAAGGGTAGGCCCCGAAAATAGATATTTCATTTTTGAAGCTTACTCAGACTATGGCTAATTATCTCTGAAGCAGAGAATGTCTTGTCTGTAGAAGGAGCAGCCACTGAGAAGTGGAACTCCCAGGGGAGAATGTGCTTCAGTTTTCCAACTCACAAGCAGTGGTAAGTATCCAGCTTTCTGTGTCTCTTCCTTGGCCTGCCAACATGTCCAAAAAGCTGTACTCAAAAGCTCTCCAAATTTTCAGGTTTTAAAAAAGTCTTCTAATTTACTATCCTAAGGTACATACCAATCAATAGTAATATAATTATTATTTATTTTGATTTATGTATTTGGGGGAAAGGCCATTACTCCTAGCTTCATCTTTCCTGCTGTCAGCCTTTGTAGTACTTCCATTGGCTACTCCCACTACATTCAAATATTCTTACTGATGCTATTACTTCCTAACAATAGGTTAAAAGTTCATGCCAAAAGTAATTGCTCAGGATATGGTTTTCTTAAAGTGAATTTATCATAGGAAAATCAAATATGACTTTTCACCTATAGCAATCTTAGAACGTGGTGTGGTATCTCTACAGCTATTGAGGACAGATATATACCCTAAGGCAACATATTATATTATTGATTTTTCTACCTCTTGGAATCACATTTATCATGCCTCAGTACCCATCTATCTGGCCCTCTATCAATGTGTACATACATAGATCAGGAATGAGAACATACATGTCCCCAAGTCCTATAACAGTGTCTATGAAGGTGAAGTCTGTAAATATACAAATATAAAAACATACAGCCTCCGTGCCTCTAAGAAATACAGGTAGGTCAAGTGTTTCTTTGTAGGTATTATATTTCTGATATGCAAATGGTATGAGAATTCACAATAATAACCAGGCACACCAACATAAAAAATAGTTAACTTCAATGATGCTGAGTCAGTTTTGACAGTTAGTACCCAGATTGGCCCTCCTAATTTATTGACTGAAGAGACAGCTATACCTACCCGATTCAAAGAATGTATTTGGGTGAGGGGAATTAATTTACTAGGATGATTCTATCACCCTCTGTACCAGAAATTGTCTATTCATTTGGAAGGAGAGGGCCTAGAGATTTTTCAGAAACCTATTTCTATATTTCTAAAGAACTTTTAATTTACTCTTTATTAGACTCCCTGAAATCATAGAGTAGGTGATATAGATCTTCCCTAAAAATGTGATTTTAGCTTTGTGGTGACCCACCCTTTAATATAAAAATCAGATTCTTGACCCTATATACTATTCTTTTTAAATATAAAGAACAATTTTATTAAATAAGCAAATATACAAAGGCTTTTCAAACCATTTTGCCTAAAAAAGAGTAAACTGTCTAAATATTGCTGCTAAAAGTGACATAATCCAGATGGCTATTTTTGAGAAAAATAATATTATTTCTGGATATGTTTTTCTACCTTTCTATACTCATTGTAGCAATGATGCTCATATACTGTGATGCAGCTAAAATAATGATATGGGTGAGAATTATCAATGTTGTTGACAAGAATATATTTTAAAATGAAAGAATTTGGCATAAATATATTAAGTAGAATTTCATCACATATTACCCTTGGCTAAGGTATTTAAAAGTCATTACATTTAAGTCAGATTGATTTCCAGTTTCCAGAGACAATTGTACAATTTGAACTTATACTCTCAAGTTTTATACGCAAATTAAAGCTGGGCACACATAAATTTTGACTTTGCTATCCAAAGCAAAGTATGTTTTTGGCACCATTTCCTACTATTGAGTTATTTAGTGGAATCCACTGGATCTGTCCAGATGTCTTATAAAAAAATTCTTTCAGTAAATCCCCTACCTTCCATATTTTAAGCTATAGTTTTTAAATTCCCAACTTGATAACTTAATACTTCCTTTTATAAAAGGATGATTCAATTTGGACATTGATTTTTATATTTCAGAATTTTGCTTTTAATCTTCATTCTACCAAAAGTTTCCATTTTAACAAGTGAAAAAACAAAATAAGTAAAGATTTGGAGTGCTAGTTAGATCATTTCTCTGAGAACCAGATCTCTGCTATGCTATAGAGACACATGCATAAAAATAAAATAGCTTATGTGTGTCAAACACATGGATTCAGATTGCATTTTGGATGTCTAAGACTGAGCAGAAGTTCCTGTTTGGTTGATATTCCTTTTCATCAAATCTCTTACAGAAATGGAAAAAGGTGGAAAACAAGGAAAGAAACACATTCTTGATTTTCTTTTCATTTTTACCTAAAGATATAAATTCAAAGTTGTTTGAAAACTGCTTAGAATGTTAATTATATGTATCCTTCCAAAAAACAAAAGTAAATTTTTAAAATAAAGGAACTCATTTATTTCTGATAGAGTCTTTAGGATTAATGAGATCTCCTTCTGACTTGGGTGGGTGTTGAAAGCAGCTTTTAAAACATCTTGTGGTCACGGTCAAATTCATGAGATTTTCATATTTTCTATTGAAATGTAGCACAAAGCAGGCAGACAACCATGCATTAAGACGTTTTTTACAAAACCTGTTCTGGCGTGTTGGCAGAAAAACAATAGGAGTTTCACCCAGTCCTGCCACAAATACTTAACCATCCACCGTCACTTATATCCTCTCCTCTCCAAGTGGCAATTTGGCATAGATATTCTCAAATAAACCAGCCCTCAGTTTTCATATACATTGATTGCCTTGTCTCTAGTGTTTTTCCTCAAGATCTTATTAACAGCCAAACTAACCTTCCAACTAGTTGATACATGACATTTCTCCACAGGGACAGGTAAGGGTAAGATGTGGGGTTACACAAAAGGCAGTGATATTAGTGCCAAGTTATTGGGACCTGTTTAACCAATTACTTTATTATATATTGAACCTTATTTGGGACATTTGCCCTTAGAAATAGTAGAAAGATTTGGGGGGCGCAGGTACCGGGGATAGATCTCGGGATCTTGCACTTGAGAGGCAGGCAGTGGAACCACTGAGCTAAATCCCCAGCCAGATTTTACTACTATTTCATCAACACAATTTTTATGGGACTGTATGAGAGCAAAGAATAATACCATATAAAAATTGAAAGTTATTTTTCAACTACAATTGTTGGCGTTAAATTTGTGAGAATTTTTTTCCTTGTAGTTTCTACTCAAAACTCTAAGAATAAGGTTTCTGCTACCATCAGTAATCTTATAGGAAATTTGAA